TTAGTCAAACTCCCTGGATCCACCAAAACACGTTTGATTTTAAAATCTAATACATTTAGAGAAATTACCAATACATCGTTGTGCGGTAGCAATAATCCGTTTGCATCCTCCTCCGTGAAAGTGATGTCGTCTTCAGTGACTTCTCGGAGTCTCTTGATGTGGGTTATTGATACCTACATCTTTTTTGCTGGCGAGAAGGTAACTCCGTTAATCTCGTTTCCCCTAAAAATCATGTTGATCGTCTGGCGCGGGGGTCTTCTCCTGTTTTTGAGGGCTCCGCATTATCACGGTTGCGACCGTAATTTTTCTTGGCCCGGTCACTTAAGAATTCTCTGAGATGACCATTTTTCAGTAATATCGCCACCTCTTCATGCAGATGTCGGCTTGCCCAGTCAGGTGGCCATTCGTCCCGTGGTATTCGCACCACAAAACAAAATGATGTTCATTTTGCAACTCTTTCATTTCAATCCCTTGAAAAATGAAAGTGATGTTCATTTTGTATTTATTTTTATGCTGAATGTAATGCCTTTATCCTCTATTTTGTATTTTCACCATCTTCATATATTATTTATTAGTTAAATATTATAATTTATTTGTTTATTCTCTATTTTCCTTGAGATTATACAAAACAAAAATACAAAAATCTAAAATATTTGCTTAGAACCATTCACTTACTTTAAAATTTGTATCAAATATTAAGTTGTTGAAACATTAGATATTAGAAATTTTCTATTAAGCATCTGACTCCACTACATTTATTATTATCAAAAGCAATACCCTTTTTTTTTGTAATATTCTGTAAATTAATTGACTGACCTACTCCAAACTCTGTTATTAATTTAAATCGCAAAGAATATAACTAATGTATCATATTATAATATTAAAATGTAATGTAAGAGTTCTTGGAGGGAGGGAGCTGATGGTCTATCGGAAACAGCCTCTCTACCCTAGGGTAGGGGTAAGGTCTGCGTACACACTAACCTTACCAGACCTCACTAGTGAGATTATACTGGGCAATGCTTTAATAGGAGAGAGAAACACATGTGTATCATAACTTCAATAAGTTGCAAATTGATAGCAATGTGTGCAATAAACAGCTAGATGGGACCCAAAATTAGGGTCCCTCAGGCTGGGATCATACCTCATCGACTTCAGGAACCGTACTTCTTTAATGTTCCTCATAGCCGAAACCAACTTTACTACACTGACGTTGAAGTTGCATTCTAATAGCCTGGGATAGGAAAGATCCCAAGAACCTGACATTTTTTTGTCATGCAATGATCTATTGTTCCAATCGCGATCAGTTTTTCTATCAGTAACAAACCTATCTGCCGAATGGAAACCTCTGCCGCGTCCTTCGGCCCGTTAGTAGGGCAAAAATCGGCCCCTCGAAGACCGTCTATCTGAGTCGTAATCGTCTTTTGATTTTTCCTTATTCTTCTTCTAACCTTTTGCCGACGCCGAATAGCCAATATGATCATCTTCAATCCTTATCTTGGACTCGTACCTGTTGTGAACATCCGCCCAAGTCGTCGCTTGGAACTCGAGCAAGCTTTCCTTCAATTTTCGGGAAGCATCAGAACTTCTCGGATTCAAACCCTTGGTGAATGCTTCAACCGTCCATTCATCTGGAACCGCCGGGAGAAACATTCTTTCCTTTTGGAACCGGGTGACGAATTCCCGTAGCAACTCAGACTCTCCTTGTGCAATTCTGAATATGTCAGCCTTTCGAGCCTACACCTTTCTAGTCCTGGCATGGGCCTTAATAAAAGAATCTGTGAGGATCTCAAAGGAATCTATGGAATGATTGGGCAACAACGAATACCACATCAAGGCTCCCCTCGTGAGGATCTCTACGAATTTCTTTAGCAAAATAGATTCAATCTCATGGGGAGCTAAATCGTTCCCCTTCACCGCCATTGTATAGGTGGTAATATGCTCATGAGGGTCCGAAGTCTAATCATATTTCGACACATTGGGCATTTTAAACAGCTTTGGGATTAATTCTGGTGCCGCGCTTAGTTTGTACGACAATTGAGTATACTTCTTTGAGTCTTGCCCTTTTAGCATCGGTGGTGCACCCGGGATTTTGTCTATACGAGCCTTCACTTCCCTTATAAACCTTAAGAGTTCGCTTTTGAAGGGATCGTTTTCGTTGTTGTGACCAGACCCGCTCCCCCGGCCCCATCAGAGCCAACCTCGCCCCTCGGGGTGTTGTTGTCGACCCTCTACCTTGTTTGATTCGTGGGAGCACCGGGAGGAACTAGACCTCGTCCATTTACGTTATTGGAAGAACCCGACAACGCATGTTTTAGTTCTGTCATAACCTTATCTTGCCGTGTGAGATGGCCTAGAATGACCTCTTGTTGCTCCTGCAGGACCCTTACCTCTTCAACAACATGCTCCTCTTCAATATCATCGGGAATCGCCTCCCGAACACGTCGCGGGTACCGCTTGCCGTGGACCAGCGTGGTATTGTTTCCCTCATTGCGGGTATCACTGATTGAATCCGTGGGCTAAGGCTGGTCTCCTTGGGTCTCAAGATTGTGTGTTGTTAACACTATTATTTGCTATTTTTGTGATTTTTTTCTATGAACAAATAATCAAAACACGTTAGTAAAAGAGGCAAGGACTGTCTAGGCCCCCACGGTGGGTGCCAAACTGTTTACCCGTAAAATGGTACAGTTGAATTTATACGTATTTTCTAGACAAGCGAATTAATTCGATCCTGAACTAATAAAAGAATTGACGAAATATGCAATAATTAGCCTTGAGATGAAGATAAAATAGTAGAAACAGTAGTTCCGGGAGCAAGGCTTCCGGGCACAACAATAATGAAATCAAGAAGGTAAAATTGTATAAAGCTTTGAATATATTATAGCGTAAGTTTGCCAGAAAATTCTTACCCTTTCCAATGATAACAAAGCTCACTATTTATAGTTACATCTAGGGAACAAGGTCCTAGGATCATGCCTTTCTTTAATGTCAATTATGAGGGTCATTGAAGAATGTGTAACGACTGGATGAATGACAAATTCTTTGTAACAGGCAGTGTACTAAATGTTGTAGACTATTTTCCATTAAATGCTACCGAGTGGCAGGCATTTACTGCATCTTTACGAGCATCATTCTTTCCGGTAACAAATGGAACAATTGTCTTCGGTTTTAGGTAACCTCTACCTTCGGCTCCACGTGTCACTCTCTTATGCAATTACTTAGCATAGCGTATTTTACCCTATACAATACCCTAATTCACACTACTTAAAAAAGAAAGAACTCAATGCACATGCACTATCATAGGTCAACTCAATCACCAAGGAATGTGGTAGGATAAATGAGATCTTTCATCCGTAATAAAATATTTCAAGTTTGAATCTTATGAGCGGAGGCTGATCCAAAATATAAACTCTTTGAGTTTATCTTTTAAGATTTTTAGCATTGAATCCATTATATTTAAATTTATGGTTATATCTACTATTTTGCAATTTTAATGAAATTTTACATAAAATTTTTATTTCACGTCAAAAATTATGAGTTCAATTGAATCTGTCATTAACACACGACATACGCCCTGCCTAAGAATATTAGAAATCGGGGTGTTTTAAGAACGGGATACAACAAAAGACAGACAAAATCTCTTCGACATTTAATAGTACAAACAATACTGAAGATAAGTCGAGCGAGTCCTGCTTGCTATTTGCTACAAAATAAATAGGAATTGGCGTCAGATAGATTTTGTCGCTAAACATATTTTTGTCGCTAAGTTAATTTTACGACGGATTAATGATTGATTATAAAAAAAAATCCTATTGGCTAGAATTGTTAGCAATAGACTAGACGAATTTCATAGGTAATTCCGATTTTATTTTTTTGGTTGGTAGTGTTTATTTCGGTTTACACTTCTCTAATCATCATTTGGCATCGTTATAATTGATGTATTGAAATATCACTCTTGTTGTCCTAAAAATTAAAAATGTCTGGTTAGAGGTACGAGCTGGTTAATGCATTAAATTCGTAATATATATTGGGAGTTTGATTCTTTAATCTTTCTTACAACCCTGCACATTCATTTTGTAATTAATTAGATATTCACAATATTATAGAAAATAAGAATAATAATAATAAAGAATATAAACCGCTGACACAAGAAATATCACTGTCAGGTAAGAAGTGTAAATATTTATCCTTTCTAATTGTATCCAACAACGGAGGACCCATTAGTGACACATTGATTAGAGTATTAGACAAAGATCCACTATAGTTATGATAATATAAGATGCGATTAAGGAAATTTCTGCGATATGCATGAGCCATTTTAAAAATCATCTTAAGTTTAAAATTGCTAAGAGAAAGAAAAGTTCTACAAGTATTTAAACAATTGTCTTTTTCCATCCGGGGAAGTCAAAATTTGAACTTTGTGAGTTTCAAATTTTAGGATAACAACATAAGTTTGTTAGTAACTAAGTTCTGAATTTAACTTTTCTATATATTTAGTGGATTTTTTAACATAATTTGGACTAAAGTTATACAAAAACATGTGTGTAAACTTCTAGCTCCGCCGACCTTTTTTTTTTTAACAACACTATAAATTACTACAAATAAGTGATCCAAACCAAAAGGCTTAGAATTTCCTAAATAAGAGGAAAAACTAAATGCAAAAAGGTCGTAATTAAATTATAGATGATCGGTCATCCAAAATTCAAAAAATTGTCACCAAAATGTACTCTACGACATGCATCTACTGTCTATATGACTCAAGAGCAATCACCAAATCGCTTAAATTGTACATGATCAATGATCTTAATTAATCAAGTTTTGTTTATATGCATTGATATGTGTAAAAATTATTTATATTAGATCACTTATAAAATAAATACACCTTTTCCCTATGATAATCATTAATTAACTAGTAACGAACAAAAATTATAATTAACATGCTATAATATTGTTTGTGTAAAAACTTTTTATACCATAATATCACCCTTATAACTTAAACCCTAGTGCTATTAATTAGCACGTCCAAAAGTCATTCATAATTTGCTACTACCTACTAGTTGTGACATGAAATTTCTATAGTATACAATTCAAAGCTACTTAAGTATGAAGTCTTGGTAGATATAATTACTCGATATAATCTATGGTGTCAAACGATAGCAAGGTATATCTGGCGGAGTTAGTTGAAGTACAGATAAGCTGACCTAATCAACACCGAGAAAAGAAAACAAAAGGTACATAAGCACGAGAAGAATTTAAAATTCGTCTTAGTACCTACACTGATTCAAGATAACCCCAAGAGCCCCTAAAGTTTGTTGGTAAACTTATTATTAAAATGTCATAATGAATAGTAGTTAAATCTCTCTATAAAACTATAATAACTGTCCAACTAATCAGACTCAAAGACATCTTTAGTCAATATGAGAAAGAAAACAAGCAAACTCTTTTTCTCAGTCTCTTCTTCTACTTCCTCTTTCTCTTTCTTCTTCCTATGTTTAGGTATATTTTTCTGCATGGAAATGGTCATGGCACAAAACAGAAAAACAACAGCTCCCATAAATGTTGGAGTTGTGATGGACATGGATGAATGGGTTGGGAAAATGGGTTTAAGCTGTATTTCCATGGCTTTATCTGACTTTTATAGTTCTGATCATGGCTCTGATTATAAGACCAGACTGGTTCTCCATACTCGGGACTCGAAGAGAGACGTTGTTGCTGCTGCTGCAGCAGGTAAATTATATATATATATATATATATATATATATATATATATTAACATTAAACTTTTTATTTGCACCAAGAAATTCATACTTAAGAAAACTACACAACAGTGTACGTACTAAGTCGATACTAATCTACTCCATATGTCTATTTTCATTTCCATATGATCAAAAACTGTATTAAAAACTTTCCATAAAAATACACTAGACAATCTATGATCTTAATTTGACATTCTATTAATGTTATTCAAGTGGTCTAGATTGGTACACGTATATGATTGATCATAGCTAATCCTTTTGATATTGACTTTATGACTTTGTCAATTAAAAATATAATTAAAGATTTTAGAGAAAATAAAATTTTTATTATAGGAGACAGGAATATCATGGTAGAGTGGTAGTAACAGACATTTCTTGTTAGTCCAGTTGACCAGTTCAAACTTCAAACTTGTAAGTAATAATTTAATTAAGCTAGAAATTTGTTCATAGAACTGATTATAATTTATATAAAAGAAAAAGAATTACCTACAAAATTTATTGTTATCTACGGTTTAATTGCTTATAACTAATAGAATTTTCGATAATCCGTCACTTATAATAATCCATCGTTAGTAATAATGAAAATATGTCGTTCAACTACAAAATTCGTCCGTCACTAATTCCTATTTTCTGATTATATAATTGGAAACAAACATAATTTTGTATAGGTACATGCGTTGGAAACATATGGCACTGACTCGTAATTCTAGTAATTTGGTTTCTTTTTGGAACATATAGAAATGTCAGGTTCGGTAAGTTCAATATTCTAATATATCAACTTCGACGTACTATTTTAAATGTCTTGATTAGTCAGTCGAGTATTAATTAAGAACGAAAAAATATGAGATATGGTTACTTGTTTAATTTAAAACCACTGTTTCATAACTAATGTACGTATCTTTCCCCCCTTATAATTTACTATTAACATTTTCTAGCTAATACCATAGAAAGTTTTGAACGACCAGACTGTCGGTTTGAAAAGAGGACCCGTAACAACTTATGAAATGAATAAGCGAATAGTTATACGATAAGAATGGCAGCTCGGTGAACTGAGCTTCCGCTATGTACGGGGTTTGGGGAATAGTTATAAGATAATGACCGTAAAGGATTGTGGTGGGATGAATATAATTTTTTATTCTTTCACCCTTAATTAAAAGGTTCTGGTGCACTAAGCTCCCGCTATGCACGAGATCCGGAGAATTATAGTTATAAGATAATGACCGTAAATGATTATGGTGGGATGAATATAATTTTTTATTCTTTCACCCTTAATTAAAAGGTTCTGGTGCACTAAGCTCCCGCTATATACGGGGTCTGGAGAATAGTTATAAGATAATGACCGTAAAGGATTGTGGTGGGATGAATATAATTTTTGATCCCTTCACCCTTAATTAAAAGGTTTCGATGCACTAAGTTTCCACTATGCACGGGGTCCGAAAAATAATTATAAGATAATGACCGTAAAGGATTGTGGTAGGAAGAATATAATTTTTGATCCCTTCACCCTTAATTAAAAGGTTCCGGATTCGAGTATTAAGAATAGAAGAAAAGCACTTCCCCCTAAGACCTTACACAATACAAATCTGAATTAGTCTGATCCCCGGACGGCGTGAAAACAAAAAAATAGTAGCGAGATATTAAAAATAGGTTGGTGACATGGCAAGAACAGTTCCTTTGGTCCAGTGTTTAAGCATGCAGGTACACGTAAGAGTGTCAATAGATATTTAAAAACCGACTAAACCGACCGAACTATATCGAACCGAATCGATTTTTAGGTTTCTTTTAATAAAACCGTAAGTTTTATATAAATCTATAATTGTACCGATAATTTAGGTATGTATTTTATTTTATGAAAATAAACCGAAAAAATATCGAACTATACCGTACGGAATATATTTACATGAAAAAAATATATCTATATATTAAGTTTGAAAATAATAAAGCATTAACATTTTTCTTAGGTCTTGAAATTATGAAAACGATTACAAGCCAACAAGTAATTAAACTCAAAATCCTTATTCCCAAACCTATTATACTACTATTGAAACTAAATTATTTCCAACATATTCACTAGCAAGACACAAGGTATTCTAGCGATTATAGCAAACTACAATGTATTGAATTTTTTCTTTCGTATGATTTAAATTTATATTTTCGAATATTTAATCTCCTATAGACTTTATTCTTGAGTCCCAACTTACTTAAAATCTTTCCACTCGTGTGATTTATATTTTTTTTGTCTTTGTTTAGTTTCTTTTACGATGTTGTAGAATAGTTGATAGATCTATACTCTGACCATCTTTCATGTTTTCTTAATTCATTACCCTTTAAATAGTAAAAATGTCTAGATAGTTTTACTAAATCCTATAAAAGTACGTGTGTTGTTGCATTCTGCTTCTATTAGTGGCTTTTAAGTGACACTTAAAAATATATCGAAAATTAACCGAACCGATACCGAAGAGAAACCGACATGATAGATACAGTTTCTAAAAGTCTAATTTTAGATATACATAATAGAATAACCGAAAAATTAGTATGATACAAATTTTATAATATAACCGGCCGAACTGAACCATTAGCGGGGATAGTTACATGCATGAACTAGTTAGATCGACTGATATATAATATATAACAAATAAAGTACATCATATTATAGCAAATGGCATTGTGTTTTAGGTAAGTTGACTATTAAATTAGGGGAGTGTATATTTTATATCGAAGGTCAAGGATGTCGAAAATCTAGCCTTAGCTAACCAGAAACAGCCAAACAGGTCTTTCTAGATTCCCATGGTGAATCTTGCTAGCTAAGTACTATACTAGTACAATAATGCAACCCCAGAACAACTTTTTTTTATTTTATATAATTGTGGTATTCGGGTCAACTTATATACACCTCGATTAATTTTAACGAATACACACGTTTCTCTTCTTTATTTTGATTTCTTTGAAATCTATTACTCAGAGATACTTTTATTGGACTTAACTTACATACTGCAAGGTAAATTTTTCTATAATATTAATGTAATTTAACTGTTGTAGTAGATTATCTGTTTATTTTCCAGATTAGTAACTTCAGTTAGTATGGATAATTACCCGTAGTTACCTTTTAACAATAACAACAACAACAATCCAGTATAATCCCACTAGTGGGGCCTGGGGAGGGTAGTATGTACGCAGACCTTACCCCTACCATGAGGTAGAGAGATTGTTTCCAATAGACCCTCGGTATCCTTCCCTCCAAGAACTCCCCACCTTGCTCTTGGGGTGACTCGAACTCACAACCTCATGGTTGGAAGTGGAAGTTCCTTACCATCAGAGCAACCCGTAGTTACCTTTTAAGAGCCTCAATAATGCAAAAATTCTCGAGTTTAACTTATATATACCAATAGTGTGAAGAAATTATATCTATCAGTATAAAATTACCTTCTATATAACATGTTATTTATCATGTTTTGAATATCAATAAATATTATTTAAAATAATTTCTTTCATGATTATTATTGTATGAAATTTAAACTCTACTTTTACTGATTCTTTCTTTGAAAATGCAGCACTAGACCTATTGAAGAATGTTGAAGTGGAAGCCATAATAGGTCCAACATCATCAATGCAAGCTGATTTCATAATTGGTTTAGGAGAGAAATCTCAAGTACCAATCATCTCATTTTCTGCTACAAGTCCTTCCCTCTCATCATTTCGTAGTCCATACTTCATTCGTGCCACTCTAAATGATTCCTCTCAAGTTCAAACCATTAGTTCCATTGTCCAATCTTTTGGATGGAGAGAAGTTGTCCCTATATATACTGACAATCAATTTGGAGAAGGAATTATACCATTCTTGGCAGATGCATTAGAAAAAATTAATGCACGTATCCCTTATCGAAGTATTATTCCTGAATTCGCCACTGATGTTCAGATAAAATATGAACTTTCCAAATTAATGAGTATGCAAACTCGGGTTTTCATTGTGCATATGACAACTTCACTTGGTACCCGAATTTTTACTAAGGCCAAAGAACTTGGAATGATGAGTGAAGAGTATGTTTGGATTATTACAGATGCTATGGCAAATGAACTCACTTCTATGGATTCTTCAGCTATTGAAGCCATGCAAGGTGTTATAGGAGTGAAGTCCTATGTCCCCAGAAATAAAAGGCTTGAAAATTTTACTACAAGGTGGAAATTGAAGTTTCAACAAGAAAATCCAACAATTCTTAATGCAGAATTGAATGTGTTTGGACTATGGGCTTATGATTCAGCCACTGCACTAGCCATGGCAGTGGAGAAATCAAGAACCACTGGAGCACCTTTTCAAAAACCAAACATCTCAGGTACAAATGGAAAATGGACGGGTTGGATCAAATTGGACGATTAAATCAATGGACGGATCATAACCCAATTCGACCAAGGTTTTCTTGGATTAAAATGAGTTGGGTCAAGATGGATCAGATAACAGATCATATAACCCAACTTGTCCAACATGGTCCAACCTTCCCCTCTTTTTCATTTTGCTGTTTGAAAAAAATGTGAAAGTTAAAAGTATTTTTCTTAAATTATTAGCTTAAGTTCTTCATATTTTACATAGTTCTGAATCTTCAAAAATTATTTGTATCTTTAGGTTAGGTTACTCTATTTAACCTGTTTTGACATAATAGTTTGATGGGCCATTTTGGGTTTAATGGTTCAAACAGTTCGATCAAGTCAACAAATGGGTCATAATCCAACCCGTTTAAACTTGGACGGATTTGGTCAGGTTAAAAAAAATAATTTGATTTTGACATCTCTAAAATTTTCAGGAAATGCAACAGATCTTGAAGCTTTTGGAGTTTCCAAGGATGGTCCAAAGCTTCTTCAGGCTATACTAAACACTACTTTCAAAGGCTTTAGTGGAGACTTCCAAATTGTTGAAGGGCAATTGCAGTCACCAGCTTATCAAATAATTAATGTGATTGGTAATGGTGCAAAAGGAATTGGTTTTTGGACAAGAGAAAATGGGATTGTTAAAGAATTGAATTTGAGAAATACAAACAATGTATATTCAATTTCTAAGGCTAATTTTGGGTCTATTATATGGCCTGGTGACACTACTTCTGTTCCTAAAGGTTGGGTGATTCCAACAAATGGGAAGAAATTGAAGATTGGAGTTCCAGTGAAGGATGGTTTCAGTGAGTTTGTGAAAGTTACAACAGATTTTACTACTAACACAACAACAGTAACAGGTTACTGCATTAATGTTTTTGACGCAGTGATGGAAGCATTACCATATTATGTTCCTTATGAATATGTTCCATTTGCAGCTCCGGGAAAGTTTACTGAAAGTTATGACGATCTTATTTATCAAGTATTTCTTGGGGTAAATCTCTTAGTTTCCCTTTTTATCTTTATCAGTACATTTGTATCTTTGAAACCTTTCAGAAAGGGCAGTGCAAGAGACATCATACAAAAATTATGGAATTTTTAGACAGCCCCAAAAGATATGAAGTGTTTGGAAATGCTATTACATATTGAGAGAAAGACAAGGACTTGACTTCTATCGATGTGAAATCCATTCTATTTCTCTGATGTGCATGTCGTCCCATCAGCCTACTCTACCTTAGAATGCGCTAGAGAAAAAAACGAAGCTCCTTCCTTATTTTTAAGATTTCTTTTGTTACTCCACTAAAGAGCCTGCACTTCATCTTTGGTGTTAAGATAAATATGTTTCTTGCATATTTTAACAAGTTGCTAGTACTAACCAATGAGCAGACCTTTGATGCTGTTGCAGGGGACACTACCATTGTCTCGAATAGATCACAATATGTTGATTTCACATTACCATACACAGAATCTGGAGTTACAATGATGGTGCCAATCAAAGACGATAATAGCAATAGTGCATGGGTATTCTTGAAGCCATTGACTTGGGAGCTATGGTTAACAAGCTTTTGTTCTTTTGTTTTCATTGGCTTTGTCATTTGGCTACTTGAACACAGAGTAAATGAAGACTTCAGAGGACCTCCTAGTCACCAAGTTGGCATGATCTTTTGGTTTGCCTTCTCAACTATGGTCTTTGCACAAAGTAATTTTTCCCTCTCCTCCTTAGTACTTTCTCGTTCCATTTTATATAATACTCTTTTCTTTTTAGTCTGTTCCTTAATCTGTTTCAATGATAATGATACCTTTCTATATTTGAAATTTCTTTTAGCTTAAACTTCTCATTTTATCTTTAGTTACATGATGTTACATTCATATAGATGTCATGGTATGTTTAAGTATTTAAGACCACAAGTTGGCACTTATGATATATGCCAAAAGTCTTTCTTTTTAACTTAAACTTCGTATCCAGTCAAACACCGTCATTTAAATGAAATAAAGGGAGTACAGTCAAACCTTTCTATAACAGTCTTATTTGTTAGATATTTTTTTGTTGCTATAGTGAAGTGTTGTTATAGAGGAAATATATTATAACATAAAATAAAAATCAATTTCAAGAAAAACTTGACTTTTATAGTGAATGACTGTTATATAGGGATGCTGTTATAGAGAGGTCTAACTGTATATACAAATCGGGCAAATTGAGGAGTATCTAACTACTCTCTCTATACATAAATAGAGAACATACTTCAATCTGAATTAGCTATTACTCTTATATATAGCAATGCTTTAAACTTCTAATCTGAATTTTCTCCTTTTTGAATCTTGATACTGGCAGAGGAGAAGATAGTAAGCAATTTGGCTAGGTTTGTGTTAGTTATCTGGTTTCTAGTAGTACTAATATTGACGTCAAGCTACACAGCAAGTCTTACGTCAATGTTAACAGTTGAAAAACTCCAGCCAACTGTTAAAGATGTAAAAGAACTTCTGAAGAATAAGGAGTATGTGGGCTACCTACAGGGTTCTTTCGTACCGGGACTTTTAAGAAAAATGAACTTTGATGAGGATAGGCTTAAGTATTATAACACTCCAGAGGAATGTGTTGATTTACTCTCTAAAGGTAGTGCAAATGGCGGTGTTGCTGCTGTTTTTGATGAGATTCCTTATGTGAAGCTTGTCCTTGCAAATTATTGCTCGAAGTTTACCACCGTTGGACCTACATATAAGGCTGATGGCTTTGGCTTTGTAAGTAACTCCTCTTTTTCTCAATATATTTTGTTGTTGTTTAGTACAAGAATAACAGGTAGAGGCGATCTAAGGCGGTAATATTATGATCTCATCATTCTTGTGATTTTCATCTAGGTCTTCCCAATGGGATCTCCACTAGTACCTGATGTTTCAAGGGCAGTTTTAAGTGTGACAGAAAGTGAAAAGATGGTACAAATAGAGAAAGCATGGTTTGGGGAATCTACTTGTTCAGATTCTAGCACTTCACTTTCCTCCAATAGTCTTGGCCTAGATAGCTTCTGGGGACTCTTTGTCATAGCTGCAGTTGCTGCAATTTTGGCTCTCCTCATCTTTCTGACAAAATTCATGCAGGAGTATTGGCACATCATAAAACGATCTAATCTTTCATTCCGTGAAAGAGTCAGAATCATGGCTAGAAAGTTCGACAGAAAGGACTATAGTTGCCATACTTTCAAGAAGAGTGAACTAAGAGATACAATGAGAGATTCAGCACATATGGATTGTTCACATAGTCCAAATGATAACTTGTCAATGCTATCTTCCCCACGAACGAATGGACCACCAAGTCCAAGCATTTCTAGTTATACAGAGCAGAGTTTTCATTTTCCAGGAGAGGTAGGAACTCCACCTTTACATGAAGAGAATGTAGCAGTTAGTACTACTCAGGAGAGTGTCATTCAGTCGGCGGTTGATCTAAGTGCAGGACAATGATGTTTTCTCTTTTCTAGCTTTTGATTTGTATATTGGTGCAGAAACGGATTATGATAGTTTTAATATTTGTAAGCCTCTAACATGACTCTTACATGGTATTAAATTCATTTTTACTTCTTCCATTGTGCAGAAAAACAAATCAGATAATGTTAGAGCGATTTGATAGAAGAGAATATTCAATGGCTCTGATCAGGTGTTCTGTTGAATCTTGGAACTGCAATGGACATGTTTTCCATTAACTTCAATATGTCTGTGTTTTAGTTCAATTACACACTCTCGTTGTACTACAATTACAGGCTCAACGCCTTAGCCATATATAGAATCTAATACTTTCCAACACGTATTTCGTCATATATAGCATTATCGTCTATGAAGTGTCTCGGGCTACTATGATACAACGTAATTCACAACAGGTCACAAGTAAGAACAAGTAATTCACATAAAATCTCATGTACAAGTAGTCAATTACACATAGTACTTAACAAATAGGAGCACATAAATAAATACTAGAAATAGAGAGGGTTCCCACTCACCTCAAGCTACAACTACGGCACGAGCCTCAAACACCATCTCCCATGTCACCCTGTAGTATTTTGTTAATCTAACAATAATACAAGATAATCCATCAATTCGAGTCATAGGATATAAGGACCAACCAAAAAACCCAAAATCAACTACACTTAAACCTTAGGTTTTGAGCTCCTTCTAAATCCTCCGGTACTAACTCAACATCACTCAAACAACTAAAATACACCAATTGAATTGATTCCACAATTAAAACTCACTTATAATGTTAATAAACTCTATTACTAGAAATAATAAGGTCCGCCAATTCAAAACCATAATGCCAACTTCTCTATTTAATCATCCAAATTCTAACTTTTATTTGAAACGGGAAATAATTATTTTGACAAGCAAACAACGAAGAGAGAAGAGAAAAACTAAAGAAAATGGAAAGCTTTCTTACGGGTGCGTCAATGGCGAGAAAAGGGTATGGCAGAAGGCAAATTTTGTTTGCCTGTGTATGAACTTCGTCGGCAACTCTAAACCCCTCTTATCCTTTCTTTAGCTTTTCGTTTTTGTTTGCAATTTCCTTCCCGTAGCCCCTTCACGCGTAATAGCCTTTATTTTGCATAAATAACCTCTCTATTTGAAGAATTAACCCAAATAGCTACTCATCCAATTGATTAAATTAAAAATAACCAGCAATATATATATAAATATATANATAAACAACAAATTCGACGAGCTATTTGTATAAAGATCCCTAACTATTCCCATGGTTCCTAGATGGACTTTGGCACGTAAAAATTTAGTTTTTAAAAATTTTAACCCCCATTAGAAACTATTTATATTCGATGGTCGAAAAAGTGTATAAATTTGTATAATTTTTGTATATAATATACAAAAAATATACTATATTTATTCGACAATTATTTTGAGCGCGCTATACAGTGTCATTTTTCCTAAAAATTTCACACAACAGCCTATTTGGACTCTTTCATTTAATCTATACCTAGTATTTTAAATATTATACACAAATACGTTAAAATTGACTTAAAAAGATATTTTTGCCCTTCTACCCAAAAAGGTTTTGCATTTTTGTGCTGCCAACGATGCACCAACTTCGAGATGTTGAAGTTTCACTATAATTAGGGGCGCATGTAATGTGTTACCGACGAGGTTAATTGAATCTATAACTCTCGATATAGTAAATATTTATATATAAAAATTCATTAAAATGACATAAATAGTCGATATGAACCCATAACTTTAAAAATATAATAAGTTAACGCTAAAAACCTTAAAAATTGTACTCATAAAATTTAAATCCAATCCTATTACTCTATAAAATTCCAATGTTATGAGTTAGTGCCATAAAATCATAAGAGATAAAGTCCATACACCATCTTCACGATTCCGTTGAAAGAAAAACGTCCTTGGCCATATCAATTTAATTTCCTCTTCATCTTCGTCTTCTTTCTCCCTCTAGCTAGATCGATATCACCGGTTTATCCAACGATTCTTAGCTTGCAGATTTAATTCTAAAACTCCACATTTATCTTCGTTTACCGAAAAAGAAATAATTTGTGATAATACCCCCTTTATCAGAATGTTTTGTTTAATCGTCTGAAGTTGATGACGTGTTGGAGCGTAAACTTATGAGACTTAGGAGTCTGAAGTTTGTATGTAGCGGTGCTAACTTCCGATATTCGGGTCTGGAGTTTTTTCTGTAGCAATGCGAACTTCAGACACATATGTCCTAAGTTCGTATATAGCCGTGCAAATTACATATCTCTGGGTCTGAAGTTCACTTGTAGCAGTGCAAACTTCAGACCTCGGGGCCTGAAATTCTCATGTAGTAGTGTAAATCTTAGACCTTTCGGTCAGAAGTTCTCGTGCGGCAGCAAAATTATAATATGACCAAATTTTTATGACATTTATCATGACATAATATTCAATATAATAAAATTTGTGGATCATGATATTTGTCATGATATAATATCCACTATTAGGCCAAGGATTTATTGCTATAAATAGAGGAGCTTCTCCTTATTTGAAAACACACCAATTCAAGAGTTTTTCACTCTTGTCTTTCTTTCCCCTCCTTTATTTCATTATAGAGTATTTTGTAAGAAAGTGAGTGTTGGGAAATACTTGTGTGAACCCTTTCTTTGGAGTAATCCTGTGAGGTTATTCTCTTGGGGTATTTGGGACTAATTAGAGTATTTACTCTAATTTTGTACTCTCTTTTGTACTCGTGTTGGTATAGTAAAATTGCTTATCTCCGCTTGTGGACGTAGGTCACCTTGACCGAACCACATTAAATTTGTGTCTTTTTTATCTTCTTTAATTGTTGTTATTATCAACTTGCATTGTCTTTGTAATTGTCATTATAACGTTGTTTGGCTAAATTTCGCACTACCCAGTAACTCGATCCTAACAAATTGGTATCAGAGCCAGATCTAACCGGTTTAGTTTAAATAGCCAAGATGACTCTAACAAAGTCTTATGTTGAGAAATTTGGCCGAAGTGCAAACTTCGGAATGTGGCAATTAAATATGGAAGCTATCCTAATTCAGGATGGCTTAGATTTGGCACTGCAAGAAAAAGAGAAGATGCTAGATAAAATGACGGACGAGAAGTTTGCCGTCATAGACAAAAAAATCAAAAATAGGTATTATTTTAAATCTTTCAAATGAGGTTTTGCGTGAAGTTGCAGCAGAAAGCTCAGCCAAAGGTATATGGGAAAAGCTTAAAACCATGTATATGAAAAGAACAGTAGAAAACAGGCTTTACCTAAAGCAAAAACTCTACACTTTTCATTTTGCTGAAGGTACCTCTATACTTATATATCTTGATATTTTTTATTCTCTTCTTATAGATTTAAGTAACATAGATGATGAAATCAAAGATGAGGATCAAGTTGTGTTATTGCTTATTTCCTTACCCCAGTCGTTTAAACATATAAGAGATACTATGCTTTATGGAAAGGATAATATCTCTTATAAAGATATCAAATCTGTTTTGAAATCAAAAGAATAAATAGATAGAGATATTACTAGGAAAACTAGTGGAAACCAAGGAGAATTCATAAGAGGTAGATCCAATAAGAAATATTCAAGTAGTGAGAAACCTAAATCAAGGTCAAAATCTAGATACAGAAATGTCATGTGCAAATGTTATCATAAGAAAGTTCACATTATTTATGAATGCTTTAAATTGAAAAATAAAGAAAAGCATACACAAAAGAAAAATGAGCACAAAAATACTGACACTGCCGAAACAAGTGTAGTTGCTGATGAGACCGGGGGAACTATTTTTTTAGCAACTAATAATAGTTTCAAATCTAACAATGAGTGAATTTTAGATTCGGGTTGTTCTTATCATATGTATCCCAATCGAAATTTATTTACCACATATGAATCTATTGGAGGTGAAATTATCTTGATGGGCAACAATGCTGCCTGCAAAGTTATTGGAAAAGGTACAGTCCGAATCAAATGTACGATGGTGTGGTGAGAACTCTCACCGATGTTAGACATGTTCCTGACTTGAAGAAAAATCTCATCTCTTTGAGCACTCTAAAATCTCTTGGGTGCAAGTGCACAAGTGAAGGTGGGGTTCTGAAAATTTCTCATGGTGCTCTTGTGATCATGAAAGCACACAGATCTGGTACATTATATACTCTTTTGGGATCTACTGTTACAGGTGCTGCTGCAGTTTTAATATCAGATAAATCAGATTCTGACATCACCAAATTGTGGCATATGCGATTGGGGGCATATGAGTGAAAATGGTCTTTCCATCCTCAGCAAAAGAGGTCTCTTATGTGGCCAAAGTACCAGAAATCTGGAGTTCTGTGAACATTGTGTGTTCGGGAAGCAGAAAAGAGTCAGCTTCAAATCTCCAGCAATTCATAGAATAAAAGGTACTTTGGATTACATTCATTCATATCTTTGGGGTCCTTCACGTACCCCATAAAAATGTGATGCCAGGTATATGTTAACTTTCATTGATGATTATTCAAGGAAAGTTTGGGTTTATTTCCTGAAAAATAAAAGTGATGTTTTCTTAAATTTCAAACAATGGAAAGTTTTGATTGAGAAGCAAACAGGAAAGCGGGTTAAGCGACTTAGAACAGATAATGGCTTGGAATTTTGTAATGGTGAATTCAACGAATTTTGCAAGAATGAAAGAGTTGCTCGGCATCGTACTGTGAGAATGACACCTCAGCAAAATGGTGTGGCAGAAAGGATGAATAGAACTCTTTTGGAATGGGCTCGTTGCATGATTTCAAATGTTGGGTTGACAAACGCTTTTTGGGCAGAAGCTATCTCTATAGCTTGTTATATTGTAAACCGAACTCCTTCTGCACCTTTGAACTTTAAGACTCCAGAGGAAATGTGGTCAGATACTCCTGCTAATTATTCTGATTTAAAGATATTTGGTTGCCCTGCATACATGCATGTAAATGATGGAAAATTAGAGCCAAGGGC